AGCTTATCATCTTCTTTCCTCACAAATTGTAAGTATTAGTTATCATTCTCTTTCATTATTATATGTCGTACCTAGTAGTCTTTATGGGTTAATTTAGGTTAGGTAGCCGAAAATTTTAATAATATTTATGAAAATACATTGAAATTTTTTTTTTACAGGCTGAAGGAAGGATGGATGTTATTCTACATTTACCTTCTACTCTCCCTGACCTTTTTACCCAATTATCATATAATATACTGATGATTGATACTTCAACTTCAATGAGTGTTTATTGGTCAGCATTAATGAACCAATGGAATAAGTATATGGCTCCTATTTTAGAGAAGTGTGGAAATGAAACTGTTAGGTATACCTTTAGTGATGTTATTGAGAAAAAGGGATGTAGCCCACAGATTCAAAAAAGTGATTTTAGAAATAGTTCTACTGATTTAATCGGAGCATTAAAGAAAATTCAAGAGGAAATTGAAAGTTGTCAATCAAAAGATATTAAAGTGTTTTTTATTACTGATGGCTTCCATAGTGTATCAAGAGATAAGGCTGAAACTCAACTTGAAAAAATGAAATGTCCTGTTGGAAAAAAGTGTGAATTTTTTGTGTTAGGAATTGGAAAAGAATATCCAGTTAAACAGAGTTTATTTTTACAAGCACAACTTAATACTGGAAATACAATACCAAATTTATTTCAAGTACTTGAAATGGATGATATGGAAGATGTAATGAAGAATATAAGTAGTCATTGCAGTTCTGTAAAAATACGTTTATCTGTAGAAGGCTCTTTATTGCCTGGTGGAACATTAGAAAGTGAATTTTATCTTGATGAGTATGTTTATCTTAAACAATATAATGGTGAAAAAATATACATGTTTACAAATAGCAAAACTGAATATATTCTTCATTTACAATTTCAAGATTTAAATGTAAAAATAATGGATCAACTGATTACACAATGGAATCGGAGAATAATTCAAATTTATAACAAAGACAAAGAGAATTTTTTTTGAGAGAGAGAGATTATTAACATAGAAAAGAAAATTTGTGATGAACTATTTCTAAGGATTATGAACATAAAAGATGTAAGAGGTAATTTTACTGGGCGTTTTAAGGGAGTTTACACCAATATTGAAACTAATCTCAGGGAAAAAATCAATGGAATAAAGAAACTTATTGAGGAAGGACAATATCTTAAAGAAATGGAATTAGCTGGTGTAGTTTTGAACTCAATAACAGTATCAAGTCACTACTATTCAAAGAAGGCCTATCAACTAAAAGGATACACTGACAATGACTTTAAAAAGGATATAGATGTTTGTGAAAATATTTGAAAAAGTAAAACACCATATTCTTGCATTACAAGTTTTACCGGAAAATTGTTGTAGGATTTCTCTCACTTCAACAGTCAGTGATTTACAAGAACCAAAATTTCTAACACTGTTAAATTCAGTCAATAAATTCCAGTTATCGACTGTTTGGAACATAACAGGCATTCCTGTACTTTTTCGTAACTTAAACTGTACAGTCTTAAATATTTGGTCATATAATATTATTCAAATTGTTGAAGCCCCTTTGATTTAATTGGAGTGACAGCCCTTGTGGATTTTGTTAACATATATGGGGAAGTTGGTCATAAATACAATGAAATTGAAATTATTAATGGTAAACAAGAAACTCGCTTTAATGCTATTATACCAATTTTCACACCTGAGGAGGCTCATGTTATGGGATCACTGATGGAAACTAACCTTTTTGCTAAAATGATGACTTTTGCAGTTTTGAGGAATCCGATTATTAAGGATCACAATGCTCATCTAGGATCATTAGCTGTCTTGTTGATAAAACTCTTTGAGAAGTATCCAATTAAAAGCCGACCCAAGTATGTTTGTAGAATAATTAATAGTATTCAAGCTACTGTTGTTAATGGATACATGAAACGATGGAAACTGAAAAAATATTGGGAGATTTTGAAAAGTGAAAATAATATAAATCAAGCATTAATGACAGAGAGTATTTTAAAATTTGATGGAATATCTCTTAAGTGTGAAACGCTAATTAAACCCATGTTCATAATGTATATGATGATGAGAGATAATAACCCAGAGTCCCCTCAGTATATGAAGACTTTAATAAAGAGAATCATGAAAATAATCATTTTAGAATATGTGGGCAGATGTGTTTGTAAAGGCAAATTTGAGTATCCTTACTCACATTTTTTTATCACCTCTGATAAATATAAGAAAGAGAAGCAGAAATGTTTGGAACATAATGTTGAAGAATCTGAATATAATATAGAAAATTATTATACATTACATGAAGTTCGAAAAGCTTTAAAACATTTAGATGTGACCAAACTTTGTCCAGCCAATATTTTTCCTTTAAAGGAAATACAAATAAATGGTGAGAAAATTGCAGCCCTTTATTCATGGTCTCATGCAGGAGATTTGTCTTTAAAAACTTTGAGGATATTTGTCATAGAGATGATGAAGGAATTTGAAGAGTATGAAATCGAATTAGTATTGAATGAGTTGTTTAATGACATTTTTTTTTTAAATGTTTGTATCATGCTTTGAAGTTTCCAAGCTCTCGTGAAAGACTAAAAAAATTTGAGCAAATTGAGGACTATGATAAATGTCGCTTTAATATTAGAAATGAGATGATTAGAGAAGTCATAGAGAAATGGAATCTCAGAGATATTTATAAAAAAAAAGTGGAAAAAAATTGGGTGATGTCATACATGAAAGTTCACCAAGAAATATTGAATCCAATGACACCTAAGGAAATAATGGATAAAGTCCATCAGATGGGATTGTTTAATTGTGAGAAAACATCATTCCATGATATATATATATTCAGATATGATGTTAAAATCTTAACAAATGCTTGTCAGATATCCACTTGCCCCTATTATCTAATTCCCAGTAAGAATTGTGGTCAACATTTATTTATAGAACGATCCCAAATGGGCGAGGCCTTTCCTCATGCTCTTCACAAAACAGCTCATAAGACTAAATATAGTATTAAAAAAGGTCTTGAAGAATTTCAGAATGGAACATATACGAAAAAAGGAAAGAAATTATTAGATTCAACATATAAAGAATACAAAAAACATTTGATACAATTACAAAAAATATATAAACATGATTGATACATGGTAGGGGGATTGTATATTAAACTGATGATTTAGGTTTTTTTTAGAATCAAATTAAAGAAATTAGTTCCTACTGGCGGTGGGAGATTAGTTGTAAGACGTGATACAAAGGAACTCATATCATCTCGAAGTAAATCTGAACGTTCAGTGGCCATAATTTGACGTTTAACATCCTCAAAACTTGTCGCAGAAATAATATTGGCGGGAAATTTATTTCCTCTGCGATTTATGGAATTAATAGAGGCATTAGATAACACCGTTAATTGGAGAAGTAATGCAGAATAATTTATATTAATGTTTTCAAAGCGTCTAAATATATGATGTAAATTTATTAAACTACATAGTTGACCAAGATGTTTATTAACCCCTCTAATATCTGTAGAATATATTAGAGAGATATTGGGGTTGGCAATCTGTAGATGAACAGCATCAATTAACCACCCGGGACAATTGTTGAAGATCGGATGATTATGACAGGTTCCGTATCGTTTGATTTTATCTGTCATTAGGTATTCACACCATACTCGTGCCATTCGCAAGTCAATGAGGTTGTTTATGCCTATTAGTGATTTATTTTCATAAAGAGCAATATCACGTTTGAAAATGGGATCGAAAATATTTGGGATAAGAGGACATTCAAGCAATTTATGTTGTACAAAGTATAAACTATCACTAATATTTTTACAATCATCTATTAATCCTGAATATACCGAATTGGATGATGTTTGATTAATAGGATAGGTAAAATATGGCATTATAGTAGTAGTAGTAGTAGTAGTAGTAGAGTACTATTAGTAGTGGTAGTGGTAGTGGTTGTGGTGTAGTAGTAGTAGTAGTAGTAGTAGTTAATTTGTACATATCATGTGTTGAATCTAATTGATTCTGAATTGAAGTATGTTGGATCATTTTCCAGAGAAAAGCTGTAATATCAGTTCCTGGTTCCAAAAGTTTATAAAGTTCTTTTTTTTTTTTTTTTTACAAATTCCATAGTTGCAATGTAATAAAACATGCATATATATATATATATATATATATATATATATATATATATATATATATATATATATATATATATATATATATATATATATATATATATATATATATATATATATATATATATATATATATATATATATATATACTATAACTAGAGAAATAAAAAAAATGAATGAACTTGATGAAATACCTTATGAATTAGTTGATGATGAAGGCCAACCTTTAATTAATAATTTAATTGACTTTGATATTAAAAAGTTACACTTGGTTCCTAAAATACATTTTCTTTCTATTTTTAAGAAAAAACATAAATATATTCAATCTTTTACTCAAAAGGAATCTGCTTTTGTAGCGGCCTTAACATTAGCATTTATTCAATATGGCAAGAAAAATGGATTTATATTAACAATATCAAATATTGTACATGAGTCCCTCTTAGAACCTAATTGGGGAATGTCAAATACATTTCCTCTTGAAATATATTGGCATCGAAATGGTGACTATTCATCACCCAAAACTTTTACTTCAAACCAAAATCATTATATCCTGAACCGTTTTCATCATATTGAAAAAGAAAACAAAAAATCTAAATTAAATATATTTCAGTATACCATATTTCTTATTCTTATAATTTTAATAACATTATTTTGTTTTTATTATTTGTACATATATTTGTTTGATACCTTAGGAGACTGACTTCCAGCTGCCAATACTATTTGAAGTACCCCACCCCATTCCCTTTCTTCCTCCTAAAAATGTATCTGTATAACATAGGCGATTTTTTTTTTTTTTTTTTTGGCTGGAACCAAGTACATTATCAAATAAAATTTTAGTATATTATAAAAAAATAGATACAATTATGTCAAATCAAAATCCAGTTTTAAGTGATACAGAAGAGATGGAGGAAAATGATTCGGATACTTCAATGGAACAGGAAGAATTGAATAACCCCTCAACTTCAACTTCTACTCCAAAGACAAGAAAATCAAAGCTAAATCGAACCAGCACGACACAGGATGATGATGATTCGGATACTTCAGGGGAACTGGAAGAATTGAATAACCCCTCAACTTCAACTTCTACTCCAAAGACAAAAAAATCAAAGCTAAATCGAACCAGCACGACACAGGATGATGATGATTCACTGGAAGATTTTACAACTTCAACTCCCCAAAAATCAAAGTCAAACCGAACCAACACCCGTCAACGAACACGGGGAACCTCACCAGGCCCAGACACTAGAAGGAGATCATCTTCGGATATTGGATATAACAAACGTATATTATTTCCATTTAAATATTCTATCACGATGAATGATGTGGTAAAAGAGTGTAAATATAAGGTAATAGTATCTGAAAATATAAATCACATTACATTTAACAAGAAATTCTTCACATTTGTAAATTGTAAAACTTTACCATTAAGATTGTTAATTCACCAGTATATTACATTATCAATGTATATAATTATAAATACCAATTATGAACCCAGATCCCGTGGTTCATGTTATCAAGCTGATGGCTCCTATCATTTTCCCACGTCGTTTTGTGGAGATTTGCTCAATAAAATTACTAACTAATTTATGGACATTTTTAACTGTACAAAAAGATAATGAGTGGCAAAATGCTCTTAGAAATAATCTTATTGATGAAATTGGAAAATTAAGTAAAATAATGAAAGCAACATGTAAAAATATTTATAAAGTAGGTTTTTGTGTTGAAAAATCTCCAATATATACACCAGAAAATTTTGCCAAATATTTAGATGAAGTAAGAAATATGAAACACTTAAATTGTAATGTTAGTAAAATGTCTAAGGAAGAAGCGATAGAACTTCATTTTTCCCTATTACAAAAATTTAATGATATTATAAAAACTGATACTCATATGTATGAAGTTCAATATTATCTGGCATATATACCACCAGATCATTGGAAGGAGTCTCAAAATGAAAGTAATGAAGTTAAGGGAGAACAAGTTTTTTATAACAATTTAAACAAGTTAATCTTTAATCCATATACATGCAAAGTATCTATTATGTAAATCCCGTTTTCATTTAATCAATTTCATCACATCCACCTATAATTGTTGGGATATAAGTAGAGGTAGTAGATATTGGAAAATTAGTTTACATATTATTTTGATTATGGGGTGCTTTTTTTTATTGTAATAAAAAATAATAAGCATAATGACTACATCACTGAAATATATATACCAAATTAATAATAATTCTTCAGAAAAGAGATTATTAAGGTTGACATTCAACCAAAATAATACTTATATTGATGATTTATATCCAGGTTTATCGGAATCATCTTGTAGGTTAGCTCTCAATCGATTAATTTATATAATGTACTCAATAACAAAAAATATAGATGAGGTTAGTATTAGTAATCATCAAGTTCAATTTTGGAGTGAGCACAATTCTGAAATTTTCATCCAACAAATATATTATATCGCTGGTTTAACTACTAAACCAGCCTCAAATTTAATTAGTTATCATACAATTAAATATGATCCAGAAATGTTTATTAAAATATTAAAACAAAAGGCGCCTCAATCTTACAAATTACTACAACGTTTTGATTCGAAATTAATTTACTTTTCTCTTCTTACAAATTTATGGCATACTCTTCTCATGCAAAAAACACAAGACATTAATATAATAAAGAACAGTATTATACATCATCTTATAAATAATTGTTTTTATAATGAGGACCAACCAATAATTGAATCTGGAATACTTGACATATACACACCTTTTTACAGTCCTATGCATATCAGTAAATTAATTAACAGAGTCATTGAACCTTACCATAAAAATACAAATAATATACATATTATAGAAACTAAAGATCTTACTCATTTACATTATGAACTTGTGATATCTTTACATAAAAAAACAGATATTGTATCTAATAAAATAACGGCAATGGTAGCTTACTTACCTAATAAATATAAAAATAATCATAACCTAATAAGATCTTTTCCCTATAAATTAATCAAAGATAATCCTTCAGATATATTAAAGAATATTTTAACTAATTATAAATATTTCTATACAAAAAATAGAGAAATAATGTTGGCGAAAAACAATACAATTTTGAACAAAAAAGTAGAAGTAGAAGTAAAAGTAAAAGTAGAAGTAAAAGTAAAAGTAAAAGTAGTAAAAGTAAAAGTAGTAAAAATAAAAGTAGAAGTAGGAGTAGAATTAAAAGTA